ATCTTCTTAAAGTCTAATACGCCATGAAATTGAAAACCATCATATTTTACATCAAACTGTCTGTTGACTTCTCTTTTGCATCAGTCATATACATTTATTTTTTTCCTTTTAAATTTTTTAAGTTGACTAAAATGGTTGGTAAAGTCAATCATACTATCAGACTGCACTATTTGTACCAATTGTTTACAAATAGTATGGCTTGATAGTCAATCTCAGTCAAGAGTGCAAACATACAGTATCACTTTATAACTCATTGAGATATTCAGACATTCAAAACAACCTTTGTATGCAGCAAAAATTTTAATTGCTAATGTTTACAGTAATTTTTAATGACCATCTTTAGTAGGGTGGAGCTTATTTTCACAGTTTGTAAATGTTAACTGCCTACCCTCTATTTCTATTCCAATATATATATAGAAAACATTCATCCCAAAAATCTACTCCATTGGTGAATATTTACTGGTAGCTCAATGCCACTGAAGTTTTATAGGTTCCAAATAGTAAGAATGAGCATATGGCAATCACAAGCTTCAACCACAATGTATCCATTTTAGTACAACAGTTTGTAAAACTGTAGTTGGTCATCTCAATAAATAAACCATTAAATTAAATCACACATTAATTACATAATATTAATTTCTGTCATGACTCATGATCTTTATTTTGCTGATGTAATCAAGTCTTGCTGCAAATGTTTTTCCCTGTTTCTGGTTGAGGCTGATTCAGTGACTCATACTGCTTACATCATTATCTATTGGCTATTTGGCTTGTATGGACAAGTTCAGGCATGTCACTAAAGGACTGCTGATATTATCAGATGCATAGACTATATAATCCAGAAACTGCTCAAGCAAATCACATAATACATTTTTGTTCATTTCGGCAAAGTTATTAAATAATAAATATGGCGGCAGCAGCAACTAGATCTAAAACTGAAGTGTACTTCCTTGGTTCAACAGTAACTAAATTAACTGGCAACAAGTTACCATCCTTACGTCAACTCTTGGTTTGTTTTTATATCACCTTCTTCAACTGAAACAAACTATCAGTCATCAGCTGTTACAGTCAAAAAGTTGTTAATATTTTATGAAATGGCAAGGATCCCAATGATGGATTCAAGAAACTACATAACTGGAATGAACATTTGAAGAATGATGTTTGCTAAAGAAAAATATGGGGTGACAATCTGTAACACAGCAAACAAATGACGCTAAATTTGTTAGTAAACTAGATGAAATTTTTGACATTTCTCATCTTAGAGCAATCGAAATGATAAAATTTCCAGAGGATCATGAGTTCTTGTTAGCTCAGTGTGAGAAAGGACATAAAGGGTCAATGGTAAGTGTGGATGCAAAATTAACTGCAAAGGAGAAACAATCAGCACAAAGATAGGAACAGATGCTTATCAGAAAATGTAGAATGGAAGGCTTGAAGGGAAGTGATGAAGAAATATCAAAACTAATATCCTCAATCAGCAGCACAGATACTGAAGAAGATGCAAGATGTAAAGGAGACAGAGTAACTAGTGAGGGAGCAGTTGGAGGCAGATTATCCATACAGCAAGGAAGAGACACCCTCTGCCTCTACCAAAATAAACTGATAAAGTTACATTAAACATAGTACTAAAAATTTCAAATTTTGTGAATTGTGATGTTTAAAAATTTTTTCATTGCTTTTTGGTTTGTAATCTATCAAGTTTTTGAATATTGTAGAGTCTACATGACTATTTAATTTGTCTGTAATTGTCCAAAAAGTGAAACAAATCTGGTTTCCCAAATATAGGCGTTGTATGTTTTTATTTGTTATAAATCGATCTTTTTATAAACTTTGTGGTCATTGAGCTACCTCTAAATATTAACATATCAAGTTCAAATTTCTTCTGTAGTAATTTGAAACCAGTTTGAATAGTTCTGGAGGGTAGGACCACAAAAAAGTAAGCAATTTATTTTTTTCCTATTTTAAGCACCATTCTAATCTTCAGATACAATACAAAAGTGAATGATGTGTAATATGAAACATTTATGTAGGATGATAAAAAATATTTTGGAATATAGAATCTGGATACTTTTAAGTGAAAAAATTAAAAAAAAAAATAAAGAATAAAAATACAATATAAATACATGTGAAAATACATAATAAATAAATACAAGAAAATAGATTTATGATAAAAATATGTAAATAGAAACTATATATAATTGAAATCATTAGCAATATTTAATGGCAAAATTAAATATAACCAATAAAAAAACAAAGGTCATTATCCCAAAGACAGAGAAAGTATCATTAAAAATATCAGAAACAGGCATCAAGTACATCATTACAAAGTTCTACATATATTTACAAATTTGATGGTCGTCCCATCAACTACAAAGATCTTAATATCCTTTCTGTGGCATGGAGAGCTTGCTATGAGTTGAACATTGTGTAATCAGAAAGGAATCTTTTTCTGATTTTGGGATACATTGTGGAAAGAATGGAGAAAGTTGAGCATTGTTATCTATAAAAGATCAGCCATTTGCATGTTTCCCAAATTCAACACTTGTAACTGTTGTATTTGGGCCATAAGATACAAGAAAATTTGTTTTCCAGTAGATTTCACTGTACTTGCCTAAAGTTAGTGATGTGGATTCATAGGTACATTTATCTTTGGACCTTTTATAATTATTGAATGCAACTTATAATTAACAAAGTTCAAATCAGCGTTTCAAATGATCATCTGAGAATGATTATAATTTTAATTCTGAAAATTTTCGTAAATAAAAATATATTTCCATTCTTTCAAGAATGAATTAAAATATTTTATTAAACAGATAACTAGTCAGTTTTATTTAAAAAATTTTTTAATTTTTCAAAATGCTATTTATTTCTGCAAGTGCTAGATTAATTCTATAAAGAAATTTAATGCCAAAAAATAAATGACATGGTTAATGAAATATTGTTAATTTTTAAAAAATATCTATTTTAGTCAATACTAAATGATGGTATGAAATGCTTTTATATATTCATAAGGTAGTGTATATGTTATGGAGACCAGTCAATTTGATAAATTAATCAATATTTATTACACTGTCCACCCTATTTGGCCATTATTCATAATGCCCAGTCATTATGAATAATGCCCGATTAATCACTTTGTCCATAACAATATAAATATAACTAGAAGATTAAAATTTTGAAAAACAGTATAAAACCTATATTTAAATACTATTAATGTTTATGCATAATAAACTTGCATTAAAACTTTCAATGTTATTGTTTGTTAATTCTATTTTTATCATAATGTATGAAAAAATTCAGGGTAAGTTTTTTTTATTTTTTGGTAACAACTTTTATAAATTTTGGAAATATTTCTAAATTACTATCAGAACAAAAAATTAATGATTGTTTTAAGAATTGTTTTAGTCATTATATACTGTGTGTATTGTTTATTACTAAAACTACATTTGGGTGATTAAAGCATAGTTTTAAATAAAATTTTTATTTGCTTTTGCTAAGATGATNTCTTTTAAGAACGTCAACATTCACCTGTATAAACAGGATCTATCTAATGTTGCAGAAATCTTTGGTTTCTGCAACATTAGATAGATCCTGTTTATACAGGTGAATGTTGACGTTCTTAAAAGATTGTTATAAGTTCTGGACAGTTGTTGACAAGGACGATATTCAATCCCTTTTATTTTGCGATGTTATTTTAATGTTTGCGTTAGAAATGGACATCAAAATTGATTAAAATCCCACTCTCACACTAGCATTGAGTAAATTTTCTTGAAAAAATACTGAAAAATTATTGTGGTAACAATTACCATAATCATAACATGATGAAAAAAAAAAAGAATTTCACCTCTTCTCATTGTCTCCCAGGAACACATATGACCTAGCACCTGCAAAACCAAGCTTTGTCTTGCAAAATACTGCATCATCTGATCACTTTCCTATGACAAACCCGAATATAAGGACCTCCCTTCGAGTTCAGTCCCTGTGGAAATTTTGTTTTGTGCATTTTCACAATCAACAAGTATGGTACTGGTACCTACTCGTAGTCACCAATTTGGAAAAAGAAGTATGATATTGTCCAAGGAGTTGTAAACTCTCTCTCTCGGACTTGCAAATTAGTTGCTGAGGTTTAGATAGCCCAAATACCCTCTTACTCTGATGGATGCAACTGTTGTCCATTTAGTTCTTCATTAAATTTTTGACTTTTTTTTGTTAATGGTGTCATTATTTGTGTATCGATGACTCTTCTCACCCTCCCACTTGACTGGACAAATTGCTCCCAAAACACAGGATTCAGAAAAAGAGAATAAGCCATCCATTGACAAAGTGAGCAGTTTTTACCAAACTGTTGCCAGTGAATGGGTTAAAGCTTTGGCATTAACCATGGCTACTCATACTAGTATACTTCTATTCATGAGTTCACTTTGTTTTCACCCTTAGATGTATGGGTCCTTAGGTCTTGACATCGTCATTAAATCTATCCATTGAAAGAAATTTGAAAACATGTTATAAACACAAATTGTCAACTTTTGAATTAAACTTTTTTTGACTGCTTCATAGTGGCATAGTTGGAATGATAGATTGGTTTGTCTGTACTGTACATGTATTCAAGTAAGTTATAAAAAACAGCCAAACCTTAAACTTTGAGTATGTATAGTAGCCTTATATTCAAAGCCTTATAGTAGCCGTATAGCCTTCAAATTCTAAGAATTTTTCATTAAAAGGAATAGTTTTCTAGAAAAAAAAGTATAAATATTTTTTTTGAATTGAAATCAAATGGAGATTACTTTTGAAACATGTTAAATAAAAAGAATTGTGTATAAAGATGATTATCTTTTCCAGACTGCTAGACTTTTTAAAATATGATTTTGATTTATGTAAAAACAGAATTAGGAATAAGAAACAACATTTAAATATTAATTTTTTTTGATATTAATTTTATATAAAATTTTATACTCATATAAATATTATTTTAAGTTATATTTAATTTTTTATATTTCATTTAGGTTACTCCATTAACTTATATGTCATCAGAAAGACCAGTGTGTAATATTGAAAAAATTACAAAAGTTATAAATTCAAGAATATATTCATCAATATCAAAGAATAAAGAAAAGAGAAAAAGCTTTCATAATGTTTTAAAAAAGTTAATAGAAGAATATCATGTTGTTCAGATTGAAGGATTAAAAAAAGAACAAAATGAAAAACTTAAATTAATGCAAGAAGAACATGAGTTTAAAATAAAATTATTAAAATTAAAAATTGAAGTTGAAACTCTAAAGAAAAATAAACTATTAAATGAATAAGTGTTAACTCTTTTATTGAATTCAAAATTATAGAATAAATTGTGTATAATATTTGGATTTATCTTTTGAATCTAAAATTTTAATTTGTTTCATGATGGATTATGATTTCATAAAGTTGTGATCTATGATAAAGTTTCTTCATCTTCCTATAATAGAAATTATATTTTCAATATTATGGTATTGAAAAAGGAATTATATACTGGAAGTGAATTAAATGTAAATTTATCATCATTAGATGATATNACAGAAAAAATGGAAAATTTGTAGAAATGCAAATAAACTGTAAAAAAAAAACAAGGAATGTCATTTAATATAAGCTTCTAATCTGTTAGTTATTACTAATTAAAAGAAAGTAAGTCCACTGGCCTTATTGTTATGATTACATTCATCATACACCTTTTTGATTTTTATTCATTAATGCATGATGTCCTATATTCCATTTTGGCTTAATCAGCAGTCTTCTTCAGCAGAGTTACATATAACTTATACATCATGACATGTTATTATAATTAAAAACATATGAAAGAATCTAATAAATGAAAATATACATATAACACAACATTTATATTACTACATAACTAATCACTTACATCATCAAAACAACAATCATAAAAAACATTCAAAAATTGAAGTTAAACTACCAAACACTGTAATCACACTTAACATTAATTCTATACCTGATAGACACTGTTATGTGATATTCAGTTCTTGATGATGCTTTCATTTTGGCATATTCTTTATCTTCTTAAAGTCTAATACGCCATGAAATTGAAAACCATCATATTTTACATCAAACTGTCTGTTGACTTCTCTTTTGCATCAGTCATATACATTTATTTTTTTCCTTTTAAATTTTTTAAGTTGACTAAAATGGTTGGTAAAGTCAATCATACTATCAGACTGCACTATTTGTACCAATTGTTTACAAATAGTATGGCTTGATAGTCAATCTCAGTCAAGAGTGCAAACATACAGTATCACTTTATAACTCATTGAGATATTCAGACATTCAAAACAACCTTTGTATGCAGCAAAAATTTTAATTGCTAATGTTTACAGTAATTTTTAATGACCATCTTTAGTAGGGTGGAGCTTATTTTCACAGTTTGTAAATGTTAACTGCCTACCCTCTATTTCTATTCCAATATATATATAGAAAACATTCATCCCAAAAATCTACTCCATTGGTGAATATTTACTGGTAGCTCAATGCCACTGAAGTTTTATAGGTTCCAAATAGTAAGAATGAGCATATGGCAATCACAAGCTTCAACCACAATGTATCCATTTTAGTACAACAGTTTGTAAAACTGTAGTTGGTCATCTCAATAAATAAACCATTAAATTAAATCACACATTAATTACATAATATTAATTTCTGTCATGACTCATGATCTTTATTTTGCTGATGTAATCAAGTCTTGCTGCAAATGTTTTTCCCTGTTTCTGGTTGAGGCTGATTCAGTGACTCATACTGCTTACATCATTATCTATTGGCTATTTGGCTTGTATGGACAAGTTCAGGCATGTCACTAAAGGACTGCTGATATTATCAGATGCATAGACTATATAATCCAGAAACTGCTCAAGCAAATCACATAATACATTTTTGTTCATTTCGGCAAAGTTATTAAATAATAAATATGGCGGCAGCAGCAACTAGATCTAAAACTGAAGTGTACTTCCTTGGTTCAACAGTAACTAAATTAACTGGCAACAAGTTACCATCCTTACGTCAACTCTTGGTTTGTTTTTATATCACCTTCTTCAACTGAAACAAACTATCAGTCATCAGCTGTTACAGTCAAAAAGTTGTTAATATTTTATGAAATGGCAAGGATCCCAATGATGGATTCAAGAAACTACATAACTGGAATGAACATTTGAAGAATGATGTTTGCTAAAGAAAAATATGGGGTGACAATCTGTAACACAGCAAACAAATGACGCTAAATTTGTTAGTAAACTAGATGAAATTTTTGACATTTCTCATCTTAGAGCAATCGAAATGATAAAATTTCCAGAGGATCATGAGTTCTTGTTAGCTCAGTGTGAGAAAGGACATAAAGGGTCAATGGTAAGTGTGGATGCAAAATTAACTGCAAAGGAGAAACAATCAGCACAAAGATAGGAACAGATGCTTATCAGAAAATGTAGAATGGAAGGCTTGAAGGGAAGTGATGAAGAAATATCAAAACTAATATCCTCAATCAGCAGCACAGATACTGAAGAAGATGCAAGATGTAAAGGAGACAGAGTAACTAGTGAGGGAGCAGTTGGAGGCAGATTATCCATACAGCAAGGAAGAGACACCCTCTGCCTCTACCAAAATAAACTGATAAAGTTACATTAAACATAGTACTAAAAATTTCAAATTTTGTGAATTGTGATGTTTAAAAATTTTTTCATTGCTTTTTGGTTTGTAATCTATCAAGTTTTTGAATATTGTAGAGTCTACATGACTATTTAATTTGTCTGTAATTGTCCAAAAAGTGAAACAAATCTGGTTTCCCAAATATAGGCGTTGTATGTTTTTATTTGTTATAAATCGATCTTTTTATAAACTTTGTGGTCATTGAGCTACCTCTAAATATTAACATATCAAGTTCAAATTTCTTCTGTAGTAATTTGAAACCAGTTTGAATAGTTCTGGAGGGTAGGACCACAAAAAAGTAAGCAATTTATTTTTTTCCTATTTTAAGCACCATTCTAATCTTCAGATACAATACAAAAGTGAATGATGTGTAATATGAAACATTTATGTAGGATGATAAAAAATATTTTGGAATATAGAATCTGGATACTTTTAAGTGAAAAAATTAAAAAAAAAAATAAAGAATAAAAATACAATATAAATACATGTGAAAATACATAATAAATAAATACAAGAAAATAGATTTATGATAAAAATATGTAAATAGAAACTATATATAATTGAAATCATTAGCAATATTTAATGGCAAAATTAAATATAACCAATAAAAAAACAAAGGTCATTATCCCAAAGACAGAGAAAGTATCATTAAAAATATCAGAAACAGGCATCAAGTACATCATTACAAAGTTCTACATATATTTACAAATTTGATGGTCGTCCCATCAACTACAAAGATCTTAATATCCTTTCTGTGGCATGGAGAGCTTGCTATGAGTTGAACATTGTGTAATCAGAAAGGAATCTTTTTCTGATTTTGGGATACATTGTGGAAAGAATGGAGAAAGTTGAGCATTGTTATCTATAAAAGATCAGCCATTTGCATGTTTCCCAAATTCAACACTTGTAACTGTTGTATTTGGGCCATAAGATACAAGAAAATTTGTTTTCCAGTAGATTTCACTGTACTTGCCTAAAGTTAGTGATGTGGATTCATAGGTACATTTATCTTTGGACCTTTTATAATTATTGAATGCAACTTATAATTAACAAAGTTCAAATCAGCGTTTCAAATGATCATCTGAGAATGATTATAATTTTAATTCTGAAAATTTTCGTAAATAAAAATATATTTCCATTCTTTCAAGAATGAATTAAAATATTTTATTAAACAGATAACTAGTCAGTTTTATTTAAAAAATTTTTTAATTTTTCAAAATGCTATTTATTTCTGCAAGTGCTAGATTAATTCTATAAAGAAATTTAATGCCAAAAAATAAATGACATGGTTAATGAAATATTGTTAATTTTTAAAAAATATCTATTTTAGTCAATACTAAATGATGGTATGAAATGCTTTTATATATTCATAAGGTAGTGTATATGTTATGGAGACCAGTCAATTTGATAAATTAATCAATATTTATTACACTGTCCACCCTATTTGGCCATTATTCATAATGCCCAGTCATTATGAATAATGCCCGATTAATCACTTTGTCCATAACAATATAAATATAACTAGAAGATTAAAATTTTGAAAAACAGTATAAAACCTATATTTAAATACTATTAATGTTTATGCATAATAAACTTGCATTAAAACTTTCAATGTTATTGTTTGTTAATTCTATTTTTATCATAATGTATGAAAAAATTCAGGGTAAGTTTTTTTTATTTTTTGGTAACAACTTTTATAAATTTTGGAAATATTTCTAAATTACTATCAGAACAAAAAATTAATGATTGTTTTAAGAATTGTTTTAGTCATTATATACTGTGTGTATTGTTTATTACTAAAACTACATTTGGGTGATTAAAGCATAGTTTTAAATAAAATTTTTATTTGCTTTTGCTAAGATGATGATATTCTGATTTTATAGTATTGAGAAAATTTTTACAAAACATAAAAAAAATAAAGTTTAATGATTGAAAAGTTTTATTTTAATAGTTTTTTTAGAAAATTGTTTTATAATTTGTTGAAAATATTATTTACTTTTTATTTGAGATATAGTCCTCGTTACTTTGTAACTAAATTTTATGTATAATTTAAATACTTTTTTAAAATTTATATTTATTGTTTGTATATTTGTACAACTGAATTGTATTTAAGTTCATTTTACTGTTAATTAAGCTATTATTTACTAGTAAACTAATAATTATTGTGTTAAAATAAATATTAAAAGAAAATTTAATTTATAAAGTACTAATTTCATGTTTGCTTTAGTGTAAAACTTTTCATTTCATTTTCAGAAACTTTTAGCACGAACACAAGCTCGTCGAGAAAATTTAAGTAAAATGGAAACAAATACAACAGGAGCAGCAGTAAGGAAAAGAAGAATACCTATGTCTGAAAAAACAAATGCAGATTTTTCTGATGGTAAATCAATTTCTAATAATAGTATTTAAACTTTACAATGCTCATAATTTACTTTTAAAGAGAAGGAAAAATATATTATGTATAAATATAAATAATAATATTAATTTATAAGTTGAAAATTTATACACACAATTTGATTTTGAAATATGAAATTTTAGAAATTTAATATGATTAGTAATTGTAATGATATATAATTTTAAGAGTCATTTTATATCATTTTTGTTTCTATTCTTAACTGAAAGATATTATTGAATAGAGTTAGAATTATATAGAAAAGTATATAATTTAATTTTTATCCTATTAAATTATCAAGAAACTAAAATAGTTTGTAAGTATAAAATAGCAATTAGAGAATTTGTATAAAGGTAAGATTTTTAAATTTCATTTGAACAGTAAGAAGAGGTTAAGCTATAATTACAGATATATGTATATATAGGAAATAATTATATATATACATAAATAGTTTGATATTAAAATGTATGTATGATAGACATATCTATATCTAATATCAAACTATTTATGTATATATATATGTATATACATGTATATATATCATACATTTTAATATCAAAATATTTTAAATTATCTTAATGCAAACTATATAGAATTTTTAGTTATCTGTTGATAATTGATTCCATATTTATATTATCCATAAGACATAATGTTAATAATTTTTAAGGAGTTGATTTGTTACTAAATAAAATGTTTTTTTAGGCTATTATATCTCATTTTAAGATTCAAACTCAATATCAGAATAAAATGTAAAAATCATAGAATTTTATGTTTTTGTTTTATTCTGATATTGTTATTAAGATTTTGGATATGATAATAAGATATAATAGTCTTGAAACACATTTTAACAACTACTGTTTAATCACATCATTGATTTCAAATTTTATTAATTGTGGACAATCTCAGTCCACAGCAACTTAATATAAGTGATGGATTGAGATTTAAATTTTATTCCAAATCATCTATGAAAATGTGAACAGATTCACGTGAATTCATACTGTATCTAGAATGATAATTTTCTTTATCATGTGATTATGTGGTTGATCATTTTCTAAAAAAATTGTTTTATGTAATATAGAATGATATAAAATAAAGATCTTTCCTCTATTTTACTTCTTCTATTTGAACCATATAATTATTTTAGTAATGTACAGAATGTTTTTTAAAGTAGCTTAAATTTTTCTTATATTTCTTCCTATTCCTTTTAAATGTAACAAACTGATTTATTTTCATGTCTTTAAGGATCAGTAAATTTTTTTATTAAAGAGAAAATCATTAATGTGATAAAGGAAAGTCTGAATGAAATTCTTCCCTTCTCAGTTTTTATCTGGAAATACTGAAACCAACTTATAAATTAATGTTATGTTAATGGTGTATTTCGTGATGTTTGAATCAGTTAATTGTCGTCGTAATATTTTTGTTTGTTCTGTATATTTGAATCTGTTAAGTGTTTGGTCTGATGATAAAACAAAAAAGGTCTTGAAAAATGTTTAGTTGGAAATAAATAGGTCAATTAAGTATGATAGAATTGTAAAAGTTTCTGGTTAATGGATAGGTTATCCCACAATTATATTAATTAGCTACTTATCCGTAATACAATTTTAAATTGATGATAAACTCAGAATATAAATTCAAATAAAATATAAATTTTTATATTTGAAGTGTTTTAAATAATTTGATAAAATAATTTTCTATGTAACTAGGAGTTTGAATGATTAGCAAATAATACCTGTTTCAAAAAAAATTGTCTCTAGAAATGTATGTAAGAAATGGAGGAAAGAAGTATCATATTTTATGGCATATAAGACATACCCCATTTTACCACAGAATATTTAGGAAAAAAGTATTTAATGTATTTAATAAGCCATCTCATGCATTTGGCACTTGATTCCAAAAATTTTTTTACTGTATTCTAATTAAAAAAAAATAAAATTAGAATTACACCTTTACTAATCAAGGAAAAAAGGAGTTAAGTCTTTAAATTATCTTTAAATCTTTAAATTATTCTACATGAATACATACAAAAGCTGCTTATCTGTAGCATAAAATAATTATTCTAAAATATTCACATAAATCTAGTTTTAATTTTACAAATTAACTAAAATTTATGTATATAATTTGATTTATTTTATTATTAGACATTGATAATTTTTAAATTTTAATAATCAATCATTTTCTTGTTTTTAATTGAAATAATTAAATTTGAAGAAATTTTTGAACACTGGCATTATTGTAATAATGCCATAGTGTATAATGCAATATAAATGTTTCTTAAGATTATATATTATTTCTTTTGCTCTGATATTTAATAGAGAAATATTAGTAAAAGAGTGAAATAAAAATAAAGGTAATTTAACCATTTAACTAAAATTGATAATTCTGAAAATTTAGAAGCTGATGATACTTAATAGCGTATTATTTGAAAATTAATTTTCAGCTGCATTTTAAATTAAACTTGCTTTTCTTTATTAAAATTTTTAGGCATATTTGATATATATTAATTATAATTTAATGAAATAAATTTCAGAAAAGAAAAAATTTTGTTTAAATAACATAAAAAAATAGAAGAATTTTAATATTTTTATATATGATTATTAATTTCTTTACTAATTTCAATTTAATGTAGATAACTTAAAAACACAGTCTTCAAGTAAAGAAAGTCCAAAAAGACCTTGCTTACAGGATGATGAGATTAATAATGAGAACAATGAAGATTTAACAACTGTTAGTGAAGTAGAGTCTAAAATAGAAAATAAAGAAAATATTGATAAAATGGAAATTGAATTACAACAAGAAAACTTTTCATCAAATGAAAGAAATTTAGATAAAGGTTTGTTTTTTAAATGTAATAAATTTCGAAAGAATTTGAATGTTGAAGTTTTTTTTATTTTAAGAGTTTTCATAAGATTGAAGAAATATTGCATAGTTTCAATAATGAATAATGTGAAAATAAAAAAGAATGAAATAGAATGTTTTTTATATTGAATGAATTTTATATTTATTGAATTTTATATTGAATGAACCTTTTATATTTATATTTATAAAGTGATGTTCAGAGGCAACTAAAGCACATAATCCTTAAAATTCGGCACCATATTAATGTACAGTACATACAGTCGACCCCCCTATAAGATATAGATACGTTCCAATTTATTAGGAATCCGATTTCTTATAAGTCGTTCCAATCACAGCCCGACACGTGTCAAGTTTACGGACTACGGCTGATTGAAAGGTTTTCTTCCATAAAATTAATCGATTCTACACTAATCCGACTCAACATTTCCAAAATATGTATATTTTTTCGTAGTTTTATAGAAATCGTAATTATAGGGACCGTAATTATAGGGGGGTCGACTGTACTTCAAATCTGCCTATTCATGAAACCAAAATTTTTAGGTTATTTTTGGAAATGTTTTTGATACTTTTTGATTTGGTTTCAGCCACAAAATCTTTGAAATTGGATTTATCACCTTTCAATAGAATATAGAATAAAATGGCATCAAATCAATGCTTTAAAATTTGAATTATGTTATGCATCATAATGATGTAGAAATGTTACATTACTAATTTAATCACTTAAACAGATGCAGTGCTTAAACTGGAAAATATAGATAATAACTAAAGAATTCTGAACCTTACTCAAAATTTGCTAATAATAATAATTTACTGTGTGCCTGATGCCAATGTATTATGGTTAATGGACAATTTGATTTCAAAGGATTTGTGGCTAAAGCTGATTCAACAATCAAAAATGCTTACAAAATAACTTAAAAACTTTGCATAAGACATTATGGTGAGAAAAGTAGTATCTCAACGAGTTAACAGATTTCCAAAAGTCAGAGCATGTCACAATATCTAAGAAAACTCTGGAAATGTTGAACCAATGTGGACATCAGATATTTCCAAGATTGTCACAGGTGATGAGACATACATACCATTTTATGACTATCTCGCATGTCAAGAAAGTCAGAATTTGATCCATAAAGATTATTCAATTTCAACAACTGTGAAAAGGCAGAGATCAATAAAAAAGTCATATTTACTGTTTTGTTTTCTGTAGCACTGGTCTGGCAAAAGCAATTGAGCTTGATGACCAGAAGACAGTAATGGCTAATTGGTACACTACAGTTTGTCTTCCTAGAATTCTTGAGTCACTGAAAATCAGGTCAAATTTTGCATCACACACTGCTAAAAAGGCTGTTGATTTCCTTCAAGCTAATAATATAAGAATCATCAACATCCACCATTTTCACCAGATTTGACATTGTGTAACTTCTGACTATTTTTTATAATTTTTTAAAATTATTTTACTGCATATTTTCCATGCAATATTTGAGGATTTCTGGTAATTTATTTAATGAGTTTGAAAATGGAAATATCTAGGACATTGCTGTTTTGGAATTCTTGTTTAGTTGGAAATATAATTATTTAAATATGAATACAATTTTAGAATTTTAATATTTATTTAAATTTTAAAGTATTAAATTTTATTTTTTAGATAAAACGTCTGCTGCTGATTTTCCTGTTTCTAACAATGAATTGCATGAAGAATCAATTACACAGGCACGTTCTAGTTGTAAAAAACGTTTAGCTGCTTTGGCTGCACGTATTAACCAGTGGGAAGATGATTTCACTTACCATTCTTCATCTGAAAGATTTGTTAGTAAACCTTCTACTAATGATTCACATACTAATTCTGTGGTGTCTAAAAATAATACTTTTACTAACCATTCTAAAAAGACTAATATTAATATAGTGCATACTGAGCAGAATAACAGTAGTAATAATAGCTGTAGAGAAACTTCAGATGAAAATTCTAACATCAGTAATAAAATATCTGCTTCAAATGGTGGTGGAAACCAGATTCTAAAATCCATTATAAAGAAAGATAAGAATCATTCACAACAGGTGAGAAAAGTTGTCGTTTGGGATCATGCAATTCTGGAAACTTTGGTGAGTTGAAAATGAGACATTCAGTCTAAAAAATTTGAAACATTGAAACTGACTAAAATTTTTAATTAATTAAATCACAAATTAAATTAATCAATTATATTAAAATTTAAATGTTTTTCTAATTGTGTTGTGTTCAGTATTTTAACCTCTGTTTAATAATAATGTTGAATTTTTCAAAATTATTACATATCTGAATGTTTTATTTTTTAATATTATTAGTTTAGAATTTCCAGTATATAAGTTTTTAAATTATTTGAATTATACAAAATATTTTTTTATATGAAATTTTTTTTGTTTTTATTAAAAATGTTCATTGTGTCATGTTCAGAATTGATTACAAAGCTGTCTGACTGAGAAACTAGAAAACTATTATTTTTATTTTTAATAAAAGTAAAAATAATTGCTGTTTTTTTTTTTTCTTCTCTGTATCATCTGAAAACATTATTTTTTTGTTAGATCAAATATGAAATAACATTGATGTGACATGACACTGTCTGTATTAAATAACCAATGTTTAATACAATAAAATAATTTATTACAATTAGATCAGGGGTTTTAATCTTTTATGATTCTTGTACCAAAGTAAAAAGAATATATTAGTTCACCATAACAGTTTTATTTTGCAAAATCCTATACTTTTTCTTGAAATTTATAAAATTAAGTATCATATTTAAATGTAGAAAAACCTAATCTAATCTTACTACTATAAAACATTTTTAAAGATAGAAATAAATTACTAGATTTTATTATAAAAATTATTAATGCTAATATTAATACAAATAAACTTTCCTGTAAGAAACTATAGAATTTTGATGAAAAGAATACACATTATCTGGTTTTATCAATTAATCATAAGTAAATTTTATACAAAATAATCATATTTCTGTTGTAGCTATCATAGTTCTTTAATCAATAATTGTTATTGGTAGTAAATATGTGAAAGAGTAATGAAATGATCTTGAACAATAACATGGACTCAACAGGAGAGTAATTAACAAGTCCCTGTTGCATATCATAAATGCATGGATTTTATAAAGCTTGAAAGCTCATCTGTGAGATGTGTTGAACAAATTTCGCATGAATTTAAAAATAAATAAAATTTTGAAATAAACGTGCAGTGGAAGGAATATACAATGAAAATAATAAAATGAATGAAAGTTTGTTTTAATCTGTCAGTGAATTAATCATTGAAAAAAAAAATACTAAAATGTATTATTCATTTTTTTCATTTTTCTGTACTGTTGGCATGAAACGGCTATTAAAAATTGCTGTGTGCACTGTAGGTTGCAACCCCTGATCTAGATAATGAAATTATTTAGCATTATTTATTTCAGTAAAAATAAATAATTCCAAATAAAAAAAAATGAAGTTCTTAGTTTTGATTTAAAATAAAATGTTTATTTAAATACTCTTACATATATATAAGTAATGAATATTTTTTGATATTACAACATACTGCTTGATACATATGATGATGATGATGACAATATTTACTTGAAATATTAGCATTATTATTATTTAAATTGAAGTGTGTGTGTGTGTGTGTGTAAAATAATTTATTTAATTTTTTTAAGAAAAATACTGATTAGTATGATTAGTAGTGAAATAAATTTTTGTTGTTAAATATATAATTGAAAAATTTGAAAGATTTTATTTATTTATTTTTTGCACATTTTACAGGAATGCCAAGGTTTCACAAAATCTCCTTCTACAACCAAATTACAATATGAGTTTTCAAATAATTCATCAAAAAAGACTACAGAACCAATTTTAGAACCCAAGGAGGAGAAGTTTCATTCTGTTCCTGATTTAAAAACTAATGAAAATAATAATAATAATAGTAATAAATTAATTTCTTCTAGAAATGAAGGTAAATATTAATTTATCATGGATATGAATAAATATTATATATTAGCTGAATTATTAAATATATTTTCTATTTGAGAAATTTTTGTTTTTAATGATTTTTCTATTATATTATTTATTTCACTTAGTTCACCAACACAAAGAATTAGCATATTATATTGAAATTTTCTTACCTTTCTGATAATTTATATATGTAAAATATCAATCAATCAATGAATCAGTTTTTATTATATAAATAAGGAAAAACTGTATTACCAAGGAGTTTTAAGGAGTAATACACAAAATTAGTAGTTTTACAATTACAATGTAATAGTTTTAGTATATTTTTATACAATTATTAATTTGATCTTGTGACACACGATTTTAACCTTTAATATCTTTTTAGATAATATATAAATAACTTATAAATCTTATACATTTGAAGTTTATTCAGATATGAGATAATTCTGTGAATTATTTTTGGTTATTAAGTTAGAAATATTTTGCAAATTAGTTGATTTCTGAATAGATTTTAATGCTTGACATTCTGTGAGAATTTGATATATTGAATAATCATTACTTTTGTACTAGTAATAACTATCCCTTATCATTTTAATATATTGTTTATATACATTGAGTATTTATTCAGACAACTCCAAATTTTATTAATCTTTTTATGTTCATATATGGTAATAATGATGGAAATTGAAGAGTTTGTTGGTACCATGGAATGTAGAATTGATTAAGACTAGTTGGTCTTTTAATCCTTTCCCTCTCCCCCGTGAGGGAATTTCGAAAAATTTCTTCTTAGTGTGCATTTTCATGATGTACCCTAACTGTGTACAAAATTTCACCTCTAGGTTCAGTGGTTTGCTCTGGGTAATGATGAATCACTCAGTGAGTCAGTCAGTCAGGACAAGTAATTTTATATATTTAGATGTTCATATTGGGCTTACATACTAAATTGATGTGTTGATCAACTAATTAAATATTTTCATGTGAATTTTGATATTTGGGATTTTCATTAAACAATATAACTTATAATAAGAAATTATAGTTATTATATTATAGTTTTATTTGTTACCTTTTTGAGATGTATTTTAAAATTATTATTTTAAATTATTTAATTTATGACTGTTAATTGTAAGATTTTATTTATTTATTTATTTATTTTTTGCACATTTTACAGGAATGCCAAGGTTTCACAAAATCTCCTTCTACAACCAAATTACAATATGAGTTTTCAAATAATTCNGGTTCAGTGGTTTGCTCTGGGTAATGATGAATCACTCAGTGAGTCAGTCAGTCAGGACAAGTAATTTTATATATTTAGATGTTCATATTGGGCTTACATACTAAATTGATGTGTTGATCAACTAATTAAATATTTTCATGTGAATTTTGATATTTGGGATTTTCATTAAACAATATAACTTATAATAAGAAATTATAGTTATTATATTATAGTTTTATTTGTTACCTTTTTGAGATGTATTTTAAAATTATTATTTTAATGAAATGTAATTCTAAGTTAGGTGATCATCTCAATTAATGATATCAAATTATTACCTTACATATATGTAAAATATTTAACATTAGTGCCAGAATAACACTTGGAGAAAAAATTCTATTTAACAGGATATTATTGATCTTATGGCACTTATTGACATTGTAGAAGAAAAAAAAATTGCTAGAGTTAAAGAAAACTGCTTTATACATGTGCACACTTTTTATTAATTTTAAAATTTATGAAATATAACAAATTATAAAAGTTTCTAAAACTTATACATTTTATTTATAGAACAACATGCTGAAAATGTTTACAGCAAGGATGTAGATCCAGCTGAACTGCCATTGTCAGCTCGGAGAGCTCTTTTTGAGAAAGCTTTTATTCATGGAAATAATATAAATTGTGAAAATCCAGAAAAGCTTTCAGTAGCTGAAAGAGCAGCTTTATTTGAGAAAAGTTCTGGTTTTTGCAATGCAAAAGCGTCAAATTTTCAAAGTTTCAATCAGAGGAAACAAAATGAGTCTTCATTTAGTCAGAAATCAGAAATATCATCAAATAATTCATCATTAAAGCCAGTATCTAGTGTTAAACCTTCAACTGGTAAGTACAATTTATTAATCTTATTTTAAATTTAAGAAAATTTAAAATAAAATTAAGAAATTTGATTTTGTCTTCTTTAAGAATTACCTATTAATTCTTCTCCGAGTAAAATTGGAAATCATACTCGTAAAGTTCAACATCAATTACTCTCATCCAAAGACACAAGTTGGCAGAATAATGAAATTAGTATGAAGACAAAAATTGAACGACAGAATGAAATGGCCGTTCTACTAAATCGCTGGGAACGTGCATCCTCCAAAACAAAAACTGAAAATTCTAATCAAGTAAATTTGTTTTAATTAAAATTTTTATTAAATTATTTAATTGTTATGTTCATTTCAAACTCAGACTTATTTGGTTTCTTCAAAAATTTAGCATTATTTATTCATAGAATTAATTTTAAGCTTTTATAATTAATTTATAAGATATTAATACCTTTTAAAAATATATTAAAATGTATGAAAACACATACAGGGTTCCTACGCACCTGGAAAGTCAGGGATTTTCATTAGTGTTTGGAAAAAGTCAGGGAAAGTCAGGGAATTTGTCAAAAATTGTCAAAAAGTCAGGGAATTTGTCTCCTTAACTGCATTGTTGATCTCGTTTGCTGAATATGGATGACCAATCACAGCCATCTGCAGGTGGCAAGAAGTAATGCTGCAATCTTTAAAACCCGAGATAACTCGGGCAAATTCCATAGCGTTACATAAAACTCGGGCATTTGGGCCCTCCGAAAAAATTTTTGTTTTTTTTGGATGTTTTTTAAGTCTCCAAATTTTTTCAAAAATTTTTTCCCGCGCGAAAATATTTTATCGCGATTTTAATATACCTTTAATGACGCACGATTAACTCTTAATTGTTTTTTAATGGGAGTTTTTTTATCAAATTTCATTCATCGTTCTAAAGTAGTAGTGCACGGATTTTACTTCGATAAAGTTATTTAAAGCTAGTTTCTGATGTCAAAAACGACCTCCAATAGTTTTTTAATTTTTTTAAATTAATATATTTTATTATATATACGTTTAATTAAGTCGGGGGGTCGGAAATCGCAATAAAAAAACGTAATTTTTGAAAAATATTTAAAAATATACGGCCAGCTAGTATTCACTCTACTTTAAACCCTTCTCCTCCCGAGACTTCTATGAGAATGTCCCGGGAAATCCCAACACCAGCTGTTCTCCAGGTCATCCAGCTGTAAACACAATGACTCATCGGTGTCAGATTTCACAGAAAGGCGAGACAATGGAAAATAAAGTTTGAAGCTTTTTCTTCAAAATTAACGCATTTCTTTCGTTTTTTTCCCAGTTTTAAATATTTTTTATGTTTAATTACATTAATATTAAAAATTAGTGGGTAGCAAGGGAGTTAATTAATAACAGGATAAACTACTTTTATGTAATAGTGTTTAATTTTTAATTTTAGTAATTCAGCGATTATAAAAAAATGAAATTGTTTATTAGAATAAAAAATAACTAATTAAAAATTTGTTTGCAAACTTTTAAAAGTTGAAATCGTAATTTATTAGAATGTTCACTTCAAAATAGCTAAACAGATCAGTAAAAATCTGTAATTTAATCGTTTTTCAGTTTAAAACATAAAAAATTATAAATAGTTACCCGACGTTTACAGTAAAATACTGGCGCTGACTTGTTGTTGGCACAAGCTTTTTATATTTGTTGTTACGATTTTCCTTGAATGTACTGTACTGCAAGCATATTTTCCCTCTCTCTTCCGTTTTTTTCCGCAACTTCGATACATAGTTTAATAATTAGTTAACTGAAATGACATTGGGTAACAAATATCACTGATTTTGGCAAATTTAGGGCTTAAAAACTGGCAAGATTGATCATGCTTGTAATAAATATTCTGTAGTTATATTTTCGAAAATCAACAGGTAATCCGATAGTTTAACCAATGTTAACTTGCTTATAATTAAAATTTAAAAATTAAAAAGCTGTAAATTTAAAAAAAAATAATTACATTACTAAAAAATTAAAATAAATTTGATTATTTTTTGTGCGAAACAACACCAAAACAATTTTTATAGTTATGTTGCAAAAGAAAGAGATTTGTAGTTACGATTCTCTGCGCTGAACTTCTATATTTTAATAACGTATAATTGTAATTTCGTTTGTTGTTTATTTCTGTATTTATTTTATTTTATAAGTTTTAAGAATCCCAATTTTCGTAATACTATGACTTCATAGGAATACAAGTGTGAGGTTCCGGAATTGTCCGGAACTAAAATAGAAAAACGTAAAATAATTTAATTATTAGAGAAAAAAAGGAATGAACAGAAATTTTTTATAGAAACTTGAGAAATAGTCTAGACCCGTGTTTCTCAACCGCCGGTCCGCAACTCTAATCTGACCAGTCCGCGAAAACTTTAAAAATATATACTTAACCTTCCATGCGTTGTTCTCAAATAGGAAATATGTGGATTATTAATCCGTTTATTGATAGCAAACTAATAGATTGAACGACTTTGAATACGAAAAACTAATCAAATTAAGTTCAGACTTGGGATTTAAAACATTGTTTGAATCAATGCCCATAACACAGTTTTGGATTAAAGTTAAATCTGAATATCCAGTTTTACATAAAAAGGCAGTTAGGATGTTACTACCTTTTTCAACAACGTACTTATGTGAATCAATGTTTTCAGCAATGGTAATGATAAAATTGAAACAACAAAATCATTATAGTATTAGTTCTGCCTCACGCCTTGCAGTTACCGCCTTAACTCCAAGAATTGATGATCTTACTAGCAAAAAAGAAAAGCAGCGATCACATTGATTTGTATACTAATGTACTGGTAAATAAAATAACAAATATTTATTGCTCAATGTAGTTTGCAGTTCTTTTTACAACAGAGAATTTTTTTCAATTAAAAATAATATTGTCACTGGTCCACTTAAAAAAAGCAGATATTTTCCGGTCTGCGATGAGTTTTGGGTTGAGAAACACTGGTCTAGATCATCCTTTCTCAAAGTGGGTGATAACGCCCCTTTGCGGGCACTGGAGGCTTTCATGGGGGCAGTAGAAGGCTCAGTGATTAAATATGAGTTTTATTTCTTCTCATCAAAACATTCTTTGATCTCAGAAATAGGATATGGGTCACACCCTATCTATCCTATCCATATAATAATGCATGTTTAAACATTATATTTGCAATAACTGTTTTTAAGATATGCAACAGATGGTAATGTAAAAAGGTTAAAAAAAAGTTACTCTTTTTGTTGAAAGATTGATTTTAAAATTATGTGTTTCTAAGTCAAGAGTTCATTTTAAGCACAGTACAGTACTATTTGTTTATCAAAGAATAATTTTTGTTGATTTTATGTTACCTTGTATTTACTAGATTTACATACAAATAATAATGATAAATGATGATAAAATAAAAAGCTTGTGTTTTGTTTGTAAATTGCTTATTTTTTCATTACATTGAAGTTGTGGATTCTATCAAACATCTTTCTACAGGATGTATGTACTGTATTTTTTTAATATGGCAATCTTTGAAGCATATCAACTGTGCAAAAAGAGGGCTAAATGTACTCAATGTTAACAGTAAATGCTGTTTTATTATGTCAATATTCCACAGTAAAAAATGTGAGGGTCAGGGAATTTGGACAAAGTTGGTCAGGGAAAATCAGGGAATTCAAAACAAAAATTTGAGTAGGAACCCTGTACATAGGCTGTTTTTTTTTCAAGCTCCGATGGTCCATAAAAAAAAAAAGACAAGTGTAAATAAGAAAATGAATTTATTACTAAAAGTTAGGTACAAATATGGTTACTTTTTGACATAATCACTGTGAAGATTGAGAAATTTGTCATACCTGTGGACAAGCTTTTCCATCCCCTTGTCATAGAATGTTGCTGCCACTGACTTGAGATGGGCCCTAACGTTGTTTTGAAGATCGTCATTAGTCTCGAACCTCTGCAATTCTAGCCACTTTTTCTGTTCAGGAAAGAGATGGAAGCAATTGGTGCTAAATCAAGGCTATATGTTTGGTGTTTAAAGGTGGTGAAGACTTCCACTTCTTTCCTGAACTGAAAGTGTGACTAGCAGGGCAGAGGTTTAAAACTAATGATGATCTTCAAAACATTAAGGCCATCTCAATTCACTGGTGGCAACTTTCTACGTCAAGGGGATGGAAAAGCTTGTCCACAGATATGACAAATTTCTCAATCTTCATAGTTATTACGTCAAAAAATAACCATGTTTTATTACCTAACTTTTGGTAATAAATTCATTTTGTTATTTAAAACAGTTGTCTTTGTTTTATGGACCATCAGAGCTTGAAAAAAACTGCCCTTGTACAGTACATTTCATATTAAATGAATTTTGTAAATTTTATACATTTATATCTGATTATTAAATAATGCTTAAATTTTATCATTGTTTTTTTCCTTCAAATTTAAACAGTCATATTGGAATGGTAAAATATGATCATTTTATTTTCAAATTATTGGCTATTCTATGAGTATTGAGTTTTAATCAATTGTTGAAAAATGAGAATTTATATCAGCTGTTTCTGATTATGATGGGAGTATAACATAAAAAAGAAGTAAATGAATATATGGTATAATATATTCTTTACCAAGATATTAATTAGAGAATATAATACATGAAAATCTTATACATATTTCTTATGAACACATAGTATATAAGTATAAAATGTGTGCTGAGAAATAAATATATATTTCTCAACACACACATTTAAAAAGCTTAAACAATTTTATAGGAATCATTATTCAGTCTCCTAAGCATTACAGTTTTTTAAATACTAATATTCAAAATACATGTTTATTTAAAAATAGAAATGGAGAAAACATGATTTAAAATATTCATCATATTGAATATTGTGTTAAATAAATTTTAGTTTCTAACATACATGAACAACCCGATAATTAATTTATTTAAACAAACAGTCAGATTCCTATTGTAATACATTGAGGCTATTTAATTATTAAGGAATTAAGTAATTTGGCTAGAGATACACAGTTAAATTGACATCTCTAGTTAAATTTAACAGTTAGAAATAATTTAATTTAGAATATTCTGGAAGGAAATATAAACTTTGAATGGGACTTAAACTTGCCAGTCCTTACTGTGCAGATTATGGTTTTTCAAACGGGATCCCAGTTATTTTTTTAACCCAGGAAATTCTTTTCATCCTGTGAAATCCCACAAATTTCTTAAAAGTTCACTTCTTTCTTATTTTGTGTTAAGGCTGAGAAAATTTTGCAAATAGAAAGTATAATTAACTCATAAACTGTCAGA